TTGGCTCGTTGCCAATTTACCCATCTGCAATTATACAACCTTACAATAGTATTTAATTTCTGGATTTTTATGATATCGAAATTATATTTTTAAACATCAGTTAAAACTAAAATGCTCCATATTTAAAAACAGTAAATTAATCATATAAGACTAATAAAATGCCAATCTTATATTGTATTTTTAACGTCCTATTTTCTGGTTTTATTCTTTATATATTTTTAATTTTTCTTTACTAAAATGTAAATTTAATAAATAAAATTGTTAAAGTTATCGAAAATATCCTAATTCCATGGATTTTACACTATAATGTTTTGTTTCAGTAAGTACATGTGTCTTTGTCTATTCACTTTCATCTTTATCAATAAAAATATTCATTAAAATCAATTTATTACCATTTTATACATTATTATTAAAGAAACAGTAAACCATTGTATTTTTTTCAATATAATATACAACTTGTCATTAGTACGAAGACATAGAAGTTTTAATTTAGAAATAAATTATACAATATAAGATATAATATCAGTTTTAATTATATTATAATATAAAATATTGTGATTTAAAATTAAAATAAAATTAATGTTTGTGGCTATATATATATAAATGGAGCCAAAAATATATAACATTTCATCAATTGAGAACGGCTGGATCAGATTTGGCTCAATGTTTTTTTAATTGTTCGTAATTGTCAGGAGAAAGTTTTAACGGAAAAAAATTTTGGAAAAGTGCTATTGTTTAATAAATTGTAGTTTAATAATTTTTGACTAGGTCGATGACTGCGCAATTGAAAATTAATTATTAAATATTAATTTTATTTCTGGTATTTAATGACGGGTATTGCATAAATAAGATCACAACAAGATCCCGTAACAGATGCCAAAACAAACAAGAATGTTAATCATGAGTGGCTGGCAGAAAGAGCAATTTTAGCAGCAAAAAATATGGACGTCAATGAATTGAATCTCAAGATACAACATTCGTTACTAGGAGACTTGGTGTCATACAAATCTATTGATACAGTTTGCGATGCTACTGAAGCTGTAAATTATCCAACAGAGTTTTTAAACTTATTGGATTTACCAGGCAAGCCACCGCATAATTTACAACTGAAGGTTGGATCTCCGGTTATTTTGCTTCGTAATTTGAACCCGTGGTAGTTGTGCAACGGCACGCGATTAGTCATTAATGTTATCGAAGCCATCATTTTAAATGGTAAATTTCGAGGTGAAAATATATTATTACCGCGAATCCTTATTATACCCACAGATGTGCCAATACAATTTAAACGCCTTCAATTTCAAATTAGATTGGCATTTGCAATGACTGTCAATAAGTTTCAAGGCTAAACGATGTCTGTTTGTGGCTTAAATTTGAGGACATCATGTTTTTCACACGGACTACTGTACATGGCGTGCTCTCGAATCATCCAGTTTGTTTGTGTTGACGAAAGATGGAATAACATAAGATATTGTAGACTCTGTTGCATTAAGAGATTGATATTGTTTTTTACTAATATCATCATAATTAGTGATGTATATAATATTAAAGAATTAATTTTAATAAATTATTAAAAAATAAATGTTTGATGTTTTTCATTTTTATATTCCATCACCGTTCACAGCACTCCATACCTCTTCCACTTATATACCACATTTTTACACACCTATACTAAATTAGTTTTTTTTTTTTAATAAAATATTCTCTAGAAATAATTTATATGACAAAACAACGTTTGTTGGGTCAGCTAGTTAATTATAAAAAATTTAAATTTATAGTTTTTAATAACATGTATTTATATATAAGAAGAATTATATAGATTTATAATGTACTTTATATTAATATAATATAATAATATGATTATATTAAAACATTGATTTATAATTTTGGTGGTGTGGGGGGGGGGCAAAGCCCCCACGGGTTTGTGCATTCTGAGTAAATTTTGCAACCCCTGATATTTTTTCAAAATTTCGCCACTGCATTAATAGGTATATATTGTACACAACTTAACGTATTTTATTTTACGGTGAAATTCGAAAATGTCAAGCTAATGTTACATATACTGTTTTCAGAACTAAATGTTCAATACCTACAACAACACTTACGATTATAATACGATTTTTGAAACAAGTTGATACCTAATAATATTATATGTTATATACATTTTGAGAAATTTTTAGTTATAAATTGCTCATTGTTAAATTAAATAATTTGATTCTTTTATGTAAAATTAAAATTTATATTATTGCAAATAGTTTATGGTATTGACAGAAGCGAATAAACTTTATTTAGCCTATAAGTATTGTGGTATTAATTTTACCAGCAATTAGTATTATTTATATTATTAAGCACAATTTTTTTAACTAAGATAATAAATCAATTGTTTAGTTTTTTTTTTAAAGGTTACAATAAAAATAAATTTGTTTGTTGACATAAATTATATAAAAAACGCTTAAATTTATGTCTAACTAATTATGTGAGTCATATTTCAATTATATTGATATCAATAAATATTTTGTTTTTAATTTGTTAAGTAATTTGTTTTTTTTTATATTTCATTAAAACATGTAGTACAATCATTGTATATTTATATTTATATTTATACATGATATATATAGTTAATGGTACAGTTATAATTATTAATATCATATACATCAATAACAATCTATTCAATGACGCTTCAAAAAATATTACTTTGGTACCTACAACAGCTATAATAAACTTATATCCTGTCATAAACATTGTAAACAATATTAATTTTATAGAAACCAGATAAATATTAATAAGTAAGATTAATAAACATAAATTTTTTATTTATTTATATGTGAGTTAAGTATTTAAAAGAATACTTATAAAAAATATCGCTCCTTGATTTATAATTATACCAACTCAAAACTATTATAATTTATTTCATTAGTATAAGCTGAAAATTTCATGATTAGTGAATACTGAGATGAACTACGCCTATTAATATTATAATTTTTAAAATATTTAATTTAATTATTATATAATATTACAATATTTAATTTAAAATATGTGACAGAAAAAATACTATACACATGTAAGTCTTAGCTGTTAATGGGTACTAAAAATTTGAAAAATCTGTCTTAAATATAAAAAAATGTAACCTATTGTGTTGTCTATGTATATTATTACTTGTATCAAGTCTTCTGACTATATATTTTAATTAATAAATTAATTAATCTTTTAACAATTTGTCAAATGTTATTTAAATTATGATATAATTTACTGATAAATATAGTATCTATATTATACAGTTAAATTTAATAAAAATGATTCATTTTTATTTATGTACTAGGCTATTTATGTGTACCTATAACATATAAATAGAAAGAAAAAATCATAAAAATTTAAAATGACTCAAGAACCAAAAAGTGTTCTTTTATCATAACTAACAAATGTTTAGTTCTGTGAAGACCAGTGGCGTAGCTATTATAGGGCAATGTGGGGCAGTGCACTGGGGCCCTGGAGCACAGAGGGCCATGGACAATTCTGAGACTATACTTCCTTCAAATAATTGAAAATGTTGATAAATATAATTCCTAAATTATACGTGGTAGTTTGATGAAAAACTTTCAGGGAAAATAGTGTACATAGTGTATTAAAGAACATGAAAATAATAACAGTTATTATTAAATATTAAAATTAAATAGTAGGTACGTGGCAATCATTTATTTAAAATTAATTCTAGTTACGATCGAGTATTTAAGTATAATAATAATTCATACATTATGCAATATATATTTTATAATATTAAACTGGATTTCTTTTTTACTTTGTACAATTATTAATTATCCGTTAATTATTTTCGTTTATCATTTCATAGTAAGTATTTATATTTGAAAGAACAATATAACCAGTATATTTTGTATTTTCATATTAAGATAATATTAGAGAGGGACCCAATTATTTTTACTGCATCGGAGCCCTTTCCTACCTAGCTATGCCACTGGTGAAGACCATTATTTTCTATAGCAGAACATATAACTAAAGTCTTGCCTTCATAAAGGCTTCTAATATTAGAAATTTAAATATTTTATTATTACATAACTGTACTTGCTATTATATGGTTTATCATTACAGTTAACAATGTTTACTTTTGACTATATTTAATGTATACAGGATCTGAAGCAAAACACTTTTAATAAAGCCTATGAAACAAATTTTATGTTTTATCAGGAATAAAAAAATAAATCATTAATATTGAGTAGTTTTTATTTTTTAGATTTATGAAAGCAATACTCATAGACTTGAATAATATACTACTTTATTTACTTAACATTTATTCACATAACAGCAACTATGGTAAATATCTAACAAAACTTAAAAGTTATTTTAATCTTGAAATATCTGCTATAATGTTAATGGTTAAATCAATGTGTATTTCTGTATAAATGAATATGTTTGTAAAAAAGTTAAAGATCACTACTGGATACTGTTAACCTTTAATATATACTTTCTGTTACCAAAATACATAATTTTCAAATTATCTGATTAATTTATATTTAGTCAACCACATGAACAATTAATGTAGCACTAATAATTTTAAAACACAGATAAAATTATTACAGTTTCCTGATGTCATTTAAATTATAAGCCTTTTTTAGGTAGTTAAAAACAATGTTATGCCAGAGTTGATATTCAAACACAATAGTTGTGTTATTATAAACATTATTCAATCCAACTTTTGAATTATTACTCAAAGTTTATTTTAAATCAATAAAAATCATAGAAGTAAGTAAATATTAATAATAAATACATTTATAAGTATCCGGATTCCTAATTAAATTAATTAAAAAGCAACATACTGTTTAAACTGTTTAATGTAAATAACATACCTATACAAAAATATATCGCTTTTTTTTTGGTCTAAAATCATTAATTAGTAAAAAATAATACTTATACTAATACAAAATCATTAAAATTAATATATTTTATCACTCAATGATAAGTATTTTTAAATGTACATAATTTCAATAATATAAAATGCAAACAAAAATTTATTTTACTATAGTTAATGGTTATATGAACATTCAGTATCCATAAATGAATCATCATTAGTGATTATATCCGAAGGACAATCGGAAGGAATATTAGACGTAACATTAGACAAAATACTAGGAGAAACTTCCATATGAATATCAGAAGAGCCACAAAGAGAATTAGGTGATGGAATTGATGAATTAGATTCTTTACAAGAATTTAGTGATAAATACTCATCAATTTTTTGATGAAATTCATTTTCTAGTTCCTCTGTTATTGCATCTAGAAAAAATAAAAAAAAAACCAATGACCGATTTAAGTATAAAAAATATGATTCATTAGTGGTGTATTTCTTGTTTACTAATAAATACATTTATAAGTTTATTAATTAGTAATTAATAATATATATTTATTTAATTTTGAGCATCAATAATTATTGACATAAAAGTAGTTTACCAAGTAGATTAATGATCTACATGATTATAATGAATTTAATAGTATCTATGTGGTAAATAATTTATATTTAAATATATATTTATGTTCACAAATAATTATTTATGCTAGAAATTATTTACATGTTAAACGAAAAATTATAAATTTTATATCAAAAGAATAAAAATGAAAAATAAATAAAACAATTAATATCAATTTTAATAATAGACATGGAGTTTTAAATGATTATAAAAATATAATTTATCATGAATAGTAATATTTAAATGTAATTCAGTTTATATATAAATTATGTATTGCAAGGGATGATAAAAATTTTATTTTGCTATTTTTTAACTTCCAATACACTATTTATGTAAAATGTACAGGTAAATTATGGATTCTAGGTATCAAATGATTGTTCTAAATAAATTAAAAAAATTTAATTTTGAAACAACGCATACCTACCCAGCAATTTTTAATAAAAGTTAAAAGAATTTGTTTTATTAGGTTATAATATTAATGAAAACTTACCACGAGCAAAATCAACAACATCATTATACAACTGTTCAAACTTAATACTGTTTGCCGATTGGCCATTTTCTATTCGTTTTATGACTGCATTCTGAATTAATTCATTTAGTTGATCATTCCAACCAGATTCTATTAGTCGTAAACGCAGATGATCTTTAACACTACACAAGAAAATAATGAATATCATGGTCACATAAATATAAATAAATTATATCAAGTAAATGGAATTTAAATCAATGTTTGATAGACCTATAAATAAATTGAGAGTTTTATGGTGGCCTTATTTGAACTTTTTTTGAATTGTTTTTTAATTTATTTAAAGAGTTGAGATAATCAATGGGAGGAGTCTCAAATCTTAAACATAAATTCTAAATAAGTCAGTAAATAATGGTTCTGTTTATAAATTTATAGTACTTATTAATTGAAATGATTGATAGAAAAAAATGTATACAAATTTTATAAATGAAACACAGTAAATTATAAATGTTTGTGTGATGCTCTCATAATAAGTTCCTGTCGTTTCTGGCAACAAAAAATATTCCCATCGGACACTGCTTCATATTACTTCTACTGTTCATTGTTAAACATTTATATTATTATGATATTTTTATGTAGTTTAAAATTGCTACTAAATATAGCTTTAAACACTTACAGTTTATCATAATCAATATTTTCTCCAGACATGTTGGCCACTTTGGTAGAAAGTTATTATTGAGTCAAAAAGTAGAAAAATGTGAGACTACTAAACGTCAACATTGTTGCTCAAACAGTTTTGTTGGATCCTGAACATATCTGAAACTTAAACATTTTTGATCAATGGACGAGAAGATTATGTCCATTCCCAGAGTTACTGAAACACAATAGTAATGAAGTTGACAATTTTTACATAAATTAATTCAAGCAATTCAATACGAAGTATGTTTTTTACTTTCGAGCGACTAGCAGATCTTTATGTATATAGGTACCTATTACAAATGCACTATTCGATATGATAACAGATTACGGACAAACGGAATAGCAGTACACGGACAAGATGAGAAGATGAGAACTACAGGATCGGAGGTTGACGTGAAGGACATCGGTAATGGTCGTCACTCACCCGGAAGAATTCTAATCAAACCGTTATGGACGGAAAACGAATAGGACGAGAACAGGATTAGGAGTCCTATTATACACTACGGCTACGAATCCGATATTCAAAAAAACCCGGAAAAAAATTGTTGTGTCTATATTATTCATAATCAAAAATTAATATTGTGTTTTTAATCTTTATAATGAAAAATGATAATGTAGTTGAAATTTTTACTCACTAGCTCACTAGATAACGCTAGCAATATTTATAAAAATCAAACTATTCCCATATTTTCTTACAATTCTTTTTTTTTTGAGGGAGGTCTGGGAAATTTCTTCTAAAAAAATTTCACAGTTCAATCAATCAAAAAAAAAAAAAAAAAAAAAAAAATTAGAATTTTAATAAACAATTTTCATTTTCATTATGTAATCATAACGGTTTTTTTTATAAAATGAATGAAATTAAAAATCTACATAATTATAATTATGATTTACAAAATTAATAAAATAAGATGCCTACATAAGTGGTTTTCAATCGGGGTAACATGTTACCTAAGAGTGATATAGACGTAGTGTAGGGGTAACACGAAATCTCCACGGGAAAAGGAAAAAAATAATAAAATAATTAATTTTAATAAAATCATATTCTTTATTGCATATCTTTAAGTTTGTATCTTTATATTTTTATATTTATTAGGTATATTATTTATATTATTATTATTTTTTTAATTTGAAAATTTAATCTTCAAAGTGTTAAAGTTTATTGAACCCCGTAACTCAAATAAATTGTAAGTGTGTACTTATTATATGTTTGTGTACTGTATTTTTTTTTTATTTTTTTTATATCAAAAATTATTATAAAATACACAGTTTAGATCAGGGGCGGCTCCAGAGGGGGGACCTAGGGGTCGTAGCCCCCTCCCAAACCCATACCGTATTTATAAAAAATGTATATTGTTAACAAAAATGCATATTATAATATGTACTATCATACGACACGCACAAGTATGTAGATAGAGCTATAGAGGTATGACGGTTGAAAGGAGTTTCTCCACACTTCGAAGACTAAAAACCTGGCTTCGTTCAATAATGACTGAAAATAGACTATCAGCATTATGTCTAATTAATGTATATCATTAAGTAGATATTCTAGATATTCTAGATCATATATTGATATTTTTGCCAATTTTAAAAATAAACGACTTGAATTTGTGTTGTAAAAATTGTTGTTTTCTTTTTGCTATAAGATTTTTTAAAATTATAACTTGATCTAACCAAGACTCTTAGGCCGCCCCTGATTAAGATAATTTATTATTTTGATGTTAGGGTGCGTAGTGTTTGATTCTAGTTGCTAAAGGTGATACGAACGAAAAAAGGATGAGAATCACTGGCCTACATACAAATTATGAAACAATTTATATAAAATTGAATTATTACGACCAAAATTGTTAGATATATAAATAGGTACACTTCATAACATGAATAATTTGAAACTAATAATTCATGAAGCAATGATGGTATGAGCTTCTAAAATATACATTTTATAGGGTAAAAAGAGACTTAAAATGTTTTTTGATATTTAGGGAAGGAGGGGCTTAGACCTCCTATAAACACGCCCCTGTTTCATGCTACATAATTTTGTTTATTTATTATTATTAAATAATTTACGTGGTAATTGGAATTTTGGGTACCCTTTACATATTTGATTTATCTATACACATAAAAGATACGAGTATAGTAATATAGTCATATATTTTTTTTCCTTTGTTGGTCACATTACAGTAATGCTATAATTTAATAATATACATACAAATTCGTATACAGATCTATAAATATTGTTTTAGTACAAGGAAGTTAAAATTAAGAAACTAGGAGAGTTTATGAAATTATTAATCGAGCGAATAAGAGGGGTAAGGAGAAGATTTGAGTCGAGAGTAATATTACCAAGGGAAGATAGAAATTGAGATAGGAGCTTCTAACTAATTTTCTACTTGGGAGAAGAGAATGAAATTAAAAATTAGGTGGTTAAAATAACAAATTGTTTCCTTGTGAGTTCGAGTATATGAAGAAGAGAAGAACTTAAATGCAAGGTTAGGAAGTAGGTATATGTCTAATTAGGCTATGTCTAATTCGAAGGAAAGTGAATGAAATAATCAGGCGTCTCGGGATATTAGGATTCTTGAATCATGGTTATTAGAGAATTACGGAAACAATGTATGTCTATACTATGAGGCGAAGTTAGGTGGTAAAGAGGACCATTTTAGTTATCAAACATTTCGTAATGGATTGAGGTGAATTGAAAGAATATTGGAAGTCGGTATAATGGAACTGAAAATCTGATGGGAAAATATTGTCGGAAAACCTAAATGGTTGGCACACTTGTTGCCTTCGATACCAACATGATTGGGACTCTAAAGTAGTTTGACAATCTTGTTCTTAAGGCTTAGGGTTTTATTAGGGGTTTGAAAAAGAGAACAAGGAGAGATAGGAAGGAACCTAACAAGCAGATCTGTTTGTGAGTTGGAAATTATGAGGAAGTTATTGAAGTAAAGAGATAAGATGAACTCTAAGGCGTATATTATGGTGTAACACTCGGCACTAAAAGACGACGCAAGTACACGTAGGTTGTGAAATAAGGCTATATTGAGTTAAGATATGAAAAAGGAACAGCTGGACAAGCTGGTTGACACGGAACCATCTGTAAAGACTAGTAAATACCTAGGAAAAACTGAGTATAATTGTTATACAAGAAGTTCGGAAAGCGATATAGTTCATTGGGTGGGTAACCAAAAAAGTTGGGAAGAACAGTTGACTTCAAGAATGTGTGTTAAAGCTCGTATAAGGAGTGCCATATAATTTTAGTAGCTACAATGTAGCCGAATGTCAAAATGAAAAACACAGAATATCATGGCCGGGATAATAAATATGATTCCAAAAACCGCAAAATGTTGTACTTTGCTCAACGTTTTGTGTATTTTTATCCTTGTTGTCATTTTCATTATGGACAGGTACCTATACGATTTTAGATACATAGAAAACTGCTATTATTGATGTTGCTCGTAATACGATACAATTAATATGTTGCTCGTAGATATTATTGAATAAGTATTAACAGTATTGTAAAAAATATGCAGGTCAAAATGAAACTAATTTTTTTATAAAATAAATCAAAAAAAAAAGATTAGTTCATACACGATAATAGATTAAAAAAGTTTAATTTGAAGTTTTCAAAGTTATAATGTCAGTAAATAATTGTTTTTATCAATTATTATTATAATAATATCTATACTTATTTATTTTTGCACGTTGAGATAAGATGGTGATTGAATGCAAATCTATGAGGATCAAATTAAATAACCATGTATAGGTAAGCTATTGCAAAAAAAATATAATCGAGTATGTCACGGCCGAATATTATTAGTTGTTCAGTTAACAACTTAGTTAAATTAAATAAATTATTATAACCTAGTAATTTAGTGTAAGATTTATTTAGTAGTACTTAACTGTAGTTTATATTAGAATATTATATTAGTACTACTACAACGAGCGTCATGTACACGGACAACATCTTGCTGCTCTAAAAACTGCAAAGGGTATATTTTATACGAAATTATAAGGTAGCCGAGTTTGAAAATCGATTGACATCCAAAACGAATTCAAAGTCTAACAAGCGCCTTAAAGTATAACATTTGGTAATAAATTCGTTGTGTTGAACTATGTAAGTTGACGGTGAAATATGCTTAAACATATTTTTGAAAATCCACTATTTGACATTTCAATTTTATATACTTTGTCATTTTTAAGATATAGTGGTAAACGATTAATAGGTATTTAAATTTTACATGTATAGATTAAAAGTAAAAAAGAGAAACGTCCCAACTTTTTTTCGATTTGTTTATGTCGTTTATTAAAAAAAAAAAAACTGCTCATTCTTAAAACAAAAAGTTTTTTAATTGAAATATTATGTTCTATGAGAATCTATAACTGATGATTATTTATTTTATTTTATATATCACAATATATCTATACAAAAAATACAACATTGCTTGAAGTGAGGCAAGTGAGAAGAGTACCTTACATCAAGCTCGGAATCTTGTCTGTACTACATTCTTTTCTATATTAATAGTAGATGACAAGTTAATGTAACTTATCATAATATTTTATGTATAAAATATACCAAATAAATATAAGTATATAAATATTTGTAAAACATAATAATTTATAATGTTATACAATAATAAATTTTGATTTTAAAATTAGCCTAATCAAATTGGTACAAACATTAAAATTATAAAAAAAAAATTATAATATTATCAATAAATTAATGTAGGTAACATTACAATATTTATACTCCCTTGTTGATAAAGTATAAGCTTGATTCTTTAAACAATTTTGATCTTGTAGTTTATAAACAGATATAGGTATATTGGTACATATAATTATACTTTGTCTTAAATTAAATATTAAATAATTTTTGTTTAAAGTCGGTATTTCAGAATTTAAAACTTTTCATTTTATAAAAGTCGTTTAAAAACCACCTATAAAATTACTATGATAGTTATAAACATAATTTTTATGACTGTCATATTGTAATCTATATAATATGGTACATGTTTATATCTATGTCTACGATCAGACTTCAAACAAATTTTCACAAATCATTTTGCTTGGCACTTTTTTTTTTATTGTAGATTTACCACATGGACACTTCTCTAGCTCTATCTACCACAACAGAATGTCCTGGCGGATGTCTAATAGAAAAAAAAAAGAAAGTATTAAATAAAACTAAGTACAAACTACTAAGAAAATATAATTTACATTATTAAGAATACATTATTACCTTTTACCCTGTGAAGACATTTTCAATATGGAAAGCCTACTCTTATCGTGGTTGTTATAAGAAACTGCCATATTCGATGTTTGGCTAGTCATCGAGTCTTGTGATATGCTTCTATTAAATTTTACTCCTTGCACAGCAGGTCTGTTGTACGGAAATCTCCACGGTGAATTCGGAGGCTGAGCATCCAATTCGTATCCACGGTTATCCGTGCCGGCGAGTTTCATATGATTGTTGACGTCATCATCTTTTTTCGACGAAAGTCGTCTGAAATATGAAGCACATGAAATATGTTATCAAGATCGAACAATACGTTTTAAGTTAGAACCTTAGTATCCTACGACCGAGACCTTCGGGCTCTTCTAAGCTTTTTCCAACCCGTTTTTTCCGGTGAATGCTGTCTTCGATTATGATATGTCGATCATACGGTGTGTCGAAGTCGACTTCGAGGATAGTAGAAAACTTGTGTGGATAGACACAATCGATGGCTACAACCACCGTTCCCACAGCAATACTCAATAAACCTATGGAAATAAGCGAACGAGGTGGACGATTAGGTAGAACGCTTATATATTGTCTGGCATATAAGTACTTCGGTATCATTCTCGTATTCATGATCAGAAAGTAGGAACTAACCTGTGAAAAGCGTTAACCAAAAACACCAACCAAGTCTAAACAGTAAAAATTTATCGTCTTGAAAACGTATGACTAGAGGAGTCCATGGTAGCATACAGTGATATGCGACAGTGGCTCCGACCATAAAACTTCCGGTGCCAATCATGGTATACGCTCCGTACCGAGGAACGACAATCAGCAGCACATTCATTAGGAACCATAACACAAACGCTGTCCTACGGGTTTTTTTTTTCAAATACAATTAGTGTAAGGTCTTATGATTTAAAAGTAACTAAATTTAATTTCGTAAAAAAGGATGATACTTTAAATATCGAACGTGAAACGTGTTCCAACTATATTTAAGTAATTTTCAACATAGGCCCTTTTATCCCTTTTAAAGGCATTTTTAATTTTGAGAAGAGTATTTTATTCAAAAGAGTGCTAATAAGGGCCATTTTTATGTCATTTTTATGTCATTTTTATGTCACTTATATTTTTATTATATGAGTTGTTTTGAAACAAACCAAAAACTATTTAATCATGAACTTAGGAAAGAAGTTGAATTATGGCTTTTCCGTCGACATGAAAAAGGTTTTAGTGCAGTTGAAAAAATTCTGATAAAATCAAGATATCTATTAGAAATATGTAAAAACTGATATCTTAAAAAAATTTAAAAAAAAGCACATTTATTCAGATTTAATGTAATTAGTTAATACTAATGAAATCATAATAAAACCTAAATAAATAAATCATCAATTTCAAGGCACTTACTAATCACATAAGTATGATTTTGTTCTGTAATTGTTTTAAAGTAAAAACTTTGATATTTTTCTTAAATTATTGATTATAAAATTAAACTATTAGTTCAAAAAAATGATCTGAAGTAGTAATATAATATAATATCTGGAGTAGTAAGAAATCTTCAAAAATTTAAAGGAAATTGAATAAAAAAATACTTGGAAATACTGTCATACAGTTTAAACTTACATGTATATTATAATGTATGTACTTACCATAAAAATATGCTTCCGTAATAACCCGCAGCTCTATATTGACCTCCCCAAGCAAACCCTTCTTGGCCTAAACTGAAGTACTCAGCTACAGTTAGTATAGGGAAAGGGAGACCTCTGTACAGAGCAGCTTGGTAACTTTCGCCCATCTCATGAGCTCCTAGCCAAGAGAAACGCTCATTGAAACTAATATCTTCTAATGGCAACGAAGAATTATCAACTGGCACAGCTGTAAAAAAAATAAAATAAAAGCAATGGTATTATAAATATTAAGTCAGTTTCGTCAGAAAATAAATCGAAAAATCGGAACAAAATTATTTACCACTAAGAGTTATGTTGATGTGACCAAGTCCAACGTAGGCTCCGAGCTCTGCGGTAATCAGTTCTTTGGAAAGTGCTCGATAAGAACTTGTTATCACAGTTTCAGCTACGTGCCAACTTGAACCCAATATTGACACTGTTAACATAGAATATTTTAAAATTTTAATTAAATCTAAACAAAAATTTTACGTTCGATTTAAAATGATATAACATAGTTTTCCGGGAGACCTCATAAAAGCGAAAGCGCGTTCTAAAAATCAGTAGGTCATAAAATCGCTGAACCGTAAATACATTGAATTTGATGGTTCTTCAACAAACCTTGTTATGACCCTGGGACCATCATTTAACCTAATTAGTTGTTTTAACATTATTTTTCTTTATATTAAGATAATATAAAATACTAAAAAATAATAATTTAAATTAAACATTATTATTCTTTGATTATTCAAAAGATTATTTAAATTTTTAATTTTTTGTTCTAATGTTGTAAAATAATTATTTTATTTTAATATTAATTTAATTTGTTTCAATATTTTATAATATTTTATTGGATATATAAAATATATACAATGCTGGGTTGTCTTTGTTTATTTGTTATAATTTCTCGCATGGAAAGTTAAAGTTTAATATCATATTGTTAATTTCAGCTTTAAACTTGCTTATATTAATATTTTATGTTACTAATGTAATTTATTTTCTTGTTTATTAAAAATATTTTAATATTGGGCTGTAGATTTGTTTATTTTTATTTTGAAATTATAAAAAATGCTGGAGCTTAAATAATAGTGTATTTTAATAATTATTTTGATTTATAAATTAAAAAATTAAAATTTTAGAGATTTTTAAAAAATTAATAATTATTGTTTTTCTTTTATTACTTTACGAATCACTAGACTGGGTATACATTTAAATTTTGTTATAAATTCTAAAAAATTGGTTCAACACCTTTTTTCACTCATTAATTTATTCTTATTCTTTAATAGACATAGATATATTAATAAAATCAAACAAAAATGAAAAATATTTTCAGTGCAGCAGAAGTTACTTATAAAAACTATTTCAGCATTAAATGGTTTGTAAACTCATACTAATTTTGAAAATTATAAATATTGTTTCAGTTGATTAATTATACAAAAATGAATTATTAAAGAATTTATGTTATTTGTATACGAAAACTATATGAAAAATTGAAAGGGCCTCCACAATTTTTCATAATCCCCCCAAAAAAATGAATTCATTTTATTTATTTATAAAAAAAAACTGTATATATACTTGTACATATAAAAATTAAATACTTATAACATATATTTAAATTATAGGCTGTATAACAAAATAATAAACAATACTAATTATATATAACTTATAATTAAAACTGTTAACTGGGATTTTTAACATGTTAATGAAATGTATATGAGTCATGAGATAAATTGTTATACAAATTCAATAAAATTCATGTTTTTATCACAAAATATGTTAATATAATTTTAATAGCATCATGTTATAAGAATTATTGCCAAAACATGCCTAACTACCAATTAATTAATACTCCCACTGATTTAATAGTAAAAACCATTAATAACAACGTTATTACCTGTTACCAATTTCAACAAAATTAATTAAATCACTTGTTAATTTAAATTTTTTAAATGAAACGTATAAAAAAACCCATCGCCTCCGTGAAGTTAGGTGTTTCTGCGACAAGGATCGATCGTCTTGTTCGAGTTAGACATGGTAGTAGTATAATATTACTTATATACACATAATCATAATCATAATATAACTTAAATGTATATGATTGATTAAGTATTTTAAATACGCAATTTACCAATATTTTTACGACCTAAGAGTAGATTAAAAAATAACTTAAATAAAAATAAAAATGGTTATTCGAAAAAGAAATAATTGATCAAAAATTCTATCGGAAGGTTTCTGTTGTCCTCGTGTTAAGCTTTTCTTTTAAAAATATATTGAATACTAAATTTATCAACTTGTGTGAGAAATATAGGATGTGGGCTACTATTTTCCGAGGCGAATTATAAAAAAATGGTACATGATATGAAAAAAAAAAATTATTAATATAAAGTATATAATATAATATTTTTTTTGTTATTTTTTAAAATTATATCGTATAAATGACAAGTGATGCACATATGAAGTCGTTTTTTAAAAAATTTTCATCACTTTAGTTAGCATATTTAGTGGAATCGCGCCAATTTCTTGACCGACAGCCTCCTTAAGATCTTCAATGATTTTAGGTCAATGTTTAAAACAACTTTTTAACAGTCCTCAAGTCATAGTTTGGTGTGCTTTATCCTCAGTAGGCATCAAGAGACCTTATTTTTTTTTTGAAGAGGGCTGTGTCACGTATTACTGTGACTTCCAATCGATACTGCGAGATGTTTGAAAAATTTTTTTTCCAAAAATTTAAGAATACAGTTATAATAATAACTTTTGATTTCAATAAGATGGAACCATAGGTTTTACGGCCCATCGTTCTTGCGTCATTTTGAAATGTCGCCCAATATCATTACGGAAAGACGTCACTTGACCTTCTCGCTTCACTGATTTGAGCCCATGCATGGGCTTATTATTATTAACATGGCCATGTGACTATGGAAGTACCTTAAATCTTAAGTTTTTAAATATCAACATAGAACCATTGAAGAACTAGAGGAGGCAATCCGTTAAGAAATCGTCGCGTTCCCATTCGATATGCTAGCTAGAGTGATGGAAAACTTTCGAGAACGATTTCAAATATACATCGCTCGCCGAGGCCATTATTTGGATGATATATTTTTTAAAAAATAACATAAAAAAAACTTATATTGTATACTTTCTATTAATAACATTTTTTTTTATATCATATACCTAACAATTTTTATAATTTGTCTCAAAAATTCAGGAATTCATTATGCCGCACTCTGTATTTAATGAACTGCCAGGATTGAAATAATAATATAATATTATTGTCAAAATTCCTAAGGTCGATTGTGGAAAAATAAGCATAAGAAAATAACATATTTAAATAATAACGCCGTAAATTAATTTATAAGTTGGAAGCAAAAACTGTATTCAGATACAGTTCATAATTAATTCAAATTACTGGATCATGCGGGTAAAGCCACGCAAATGAAAATGGTAAAACCTATTATTACGAATTACAACCGCATAAATCAGATACGTTAGAAGTAGGTGGACAAATGTGGAAAAACTATAATTTAAGTTTTATTATATGATCATGATGAAAAATAATATGTATAATAAATATTAATATTTTATAATTTTTGTTTTGAAGACAATGAACCGATTCCAAGTATTTTCGTCTTAATTTTTATGTTCTATACGGAAAACGGACGTATATTTGTTTAGCACACGTTCAGGAATTATTATAGAGATAGAGGGTTACCTAAGTCTAAATTTCTTTCTATTGCATATGAACATAATAAAAAATCATGAATTTGTCAATCTACGTTACTTTAAAGTATCAAATATTTCCATTTATTTACATAAAATACATAGTGCTATAATGTACTTGTGTACTTTGATGTTATCTAATTTTTTTTCTATCACTTGACAATGATAAAGATACATAAATAAAAAACCGTTCGATTTATGAATTAAACCAATCGTCACCAAGCAATATTAAAATATTCGGGAACAAAATCTACTTTTTTTATATGTATATTTATCGAAAAATATAACTGATGTTATAGAAAATACTTACATTTTGAATTTTGGATTTTACATGATAATTACATAACATGATGTATCTACATATGTAATGTGATATAATTCTGAATTATTAGAAAAAAAAATATTACATGAACATTGAAGTAATTTATATGTCACATAATAAGGTTTAGTTTTTAACGATTTTTCTTCTTGCAACTGCTATTTTTCGTTGACACAATATTACATGTAAATAACAATTTATTATAGTACATGCAGTGTAGCAGCTGTTGTATATGTCACGCACTAATACCTACTTAAAGTTATTAAAATATGTTAAAAATGTAGTCCTTGGAATCTTATTTTGATGAATTATTTGATTAACCAGAAAAAAAATATAAGTCATTATTAACATGAATACTATAATGCAAGTTAGATCTGCAAGACGTTGAATAAAAATATTCTCTAATGAATGAAAATATGTAATTATTTGAGTTAATTAACCAAATTTAATGAAAAGTGCACGTTTCATATTTTGTATAGATAGGTTATCTGATAAATCTAACCTTAGAATCTTGTAAATTATTATGTATTTTAATAATTATAGAATTTAACGGTTTTTACTATCCTTGAAAGTATATTTTTAATTTTATTTTTATATCCATTACTTGTATATCATATGTTTAAAAATAAATTCCAAATCTGTTGGAATTGTAAAGGCTTTTAGATTAGAATTAAATTTTATTCCTATAATATTTGCAAAAATACAAGTTTTCAAATGTTTAAATTTACATAATAACATCATCTATCAAATAAGATATTTTAACAATTTTTTTGATTTGAAGGTTGCAAAATATATTATGTAGTTAGGTCACAACTATTTGCTTCGTTGATTGTGGTTAATGACATTAATTTGGAATATATTTTTGTTTGTACAGTTTATTATTCTTTAGTTCCAATTCGTTCAAACTTTAAAGTAAACACATTTAAACGGGCAAGTTAACATAATACGCCGTTTAGGTGAAATTTTAGAAATATAAATGATGATGTGACTTCATTATTGAATAATATAGAATTCATTATATTAAGATATTTTTTAAATATATCGAATGTGACTAGATGTGAATACAATTTAAAAATTACAATATACTAGAAATGCATTTATTTTTCTTACAAATTTTTATTTAGTTATAACCATTCAAATTTTCGTCAGTTAAACAAGTATTTACGTTTCAAAACCAAAATGTGTCATGTTTACTATAGTATTTACTAACAGTTGTACAGAACATTTGATTGTTTATTTAGTTATCTTTCAATTATTTTGTTTGGTACTTATATTGTTTTATATTTTAAATTATGATATTTTATTTTATTTTATCTTAATGGACCCACAATTTTATTCATCACAATCTAGTGCGATCCGGCTGACCTCCTAGCTATAGATCAATTACTATAGTCTACAACGAA